TTCGCTCTTGCTACCCAGGCTGGAGTGCAATGGCACAATCTCGGCTCACCTACTCAGGAGGCTGAGGCAGGAGAATTGCCTGAACCCAGGAGACGGAGGTTAGAAATTATATTTAAAACTTTACTTACTTAATATTAAAATCTTCCACATATACTGCTTCCTCAAGTTCTGGCATTTGAACCACTGATACACATAATAAATCCAATTATTTCATGTTTAATGAAATAATTCTTAATAGTATAAAGTTAGAACACTTTATGATGTGTATAAAACCTTAGGAATTTTGCCTTGGGAAGTATGAAATGCCCTGGGATAGGCCAGATGGGGCTTCTCACACTAGCTCTGATAAACAGACAGTATTTTCTAAAATTTCCAATTTGTCAGTAACTGATATTTTTGTAAAAGAAAATTATGCACTCAGATTTCATGACATTGTTAAATTGCTATACAAGTTCCTAATTGCTTTCTCTCAATTTCTGTATTTTTCTTGTCATGGATTGGTAAGAAATGTTTTAGGACTGGCATAAATTTGTGGGATTTATTGTAAATATCATTGTTTAGATACTTTATAACTTAGAAATTGGAATTTTAATATTTATGCTGAGTCATAAACTTCCATCACTTCCAGTATATCACTCTTTAACTATTTTCTTGTAATCCACTTTAGAAAATTAGTAGCAGAAATTCAAAGAAAAGCCAAGTAAGAATTACCAAAAAGCTGTAGAGACAGATGAGTTGCTACATAGTATTATTTAAAAATATACATTAATATATAAAAACCCCCGATCTTGCAATGATCAACAAGGGCTTTATCACGTACTTATTCTAATAAGAGCAATTTAAGCCTCCACATCATTTAGTGACTTATTAGCAACATTTCTTACCTGGGATGCCTGGTGGTGTTTTCAGATATTTGCCATTAAAATGTTGAATTACCACTTCACATTTTTCAGTAGACTCCATTCTGGGAAAAAAGTAAACCAGAGATCACATATGATTGTCAAGAAAAAGACACTTACGAAGTAAAGGAAAACTAGAAAGCCATGAAAATACATAATTTGAGAAATGTATCTCTATTGTCGACATTTATCAAGGCCACAAGGAGAAGACTGATAAGAGAACATCACTAATTCGTCATTGCTGAGAAAGTATTACTCACTCTATTGAAAGCTGCCTACATGGAGGGGTCTGTTCTGAGCCCTCATTCAGCAGTAACCCTGAGGCATTATCTTTTCTAAATTATTATTATTATACTTTAAGTTCTGGGATAAATGTGCAGAATGTGCAGGTTTGTTACGTAGGTATAAACGTGCCACGGTGGTTTGCTGCACCCATCAACCCATCATCTAAATTAGGTATTTCTCCTAATGCTATCCCTCACTTAGTCCCCCATTCCTCAGCAGGCCCTGTTGTGCGGTGTTCCCCTCTGTATCCATGTGTTCTCATTGTTCAACTCCTACTTATGAGTGAGAACTTGCAGTGTTCGGCTTTCTGTTCCTGTGTTATTTTGCTGAGAATGATGGTTTCCAGCTTCCATGTCCTTGGCAAAGAACATGAACTCGTTCTTTTTTATGGCTGCATAGTATTCCATGGCATATATGTGCCACATTTTCTTTATCCAGTTTATCATTAATAGGCATTTGGGTTGGTTCCATGTCTTTCCTTTTGTGAATAATGCTGCAATAAACCTACATAAGCATATGTCTTTATAGGATGATTTATAATCCTTTGGGTATATACCTGGTAATGAGATTGCTGAGTCAAATCATATTTCTGGTTCTGGATCCTTGAGGGATCGCCACATTGTCTTCCACAATGGTTGAACTAACGTACCCTCCCACCAACGTGTAAAAGCTTTCCTATTTCTCCACATCCTCACCAGCATCTATTGTTTCCTGATTTTTTAATGATTGCCTTTCTAACTGGCATGAGATAGTATCTCACTGTGGTTTTGATTTGCATTCTCTAATGACCAGTGATGATGAGCTTTTTTTCATATGTTTGTTGGTCACATAAGTGTCTTCTTTTGAGAAGTGTCTGTTCATATCTTTTGCCCATTTTTTGATGGAGTTGTTTGTTTTTTCTTGTAAATGTGTTTTAAGTTCTTTGCAGATTCTGGATATTAGCCCTTTGTCAGGTGGATAGGTTGCAAAAATTTTCTCTCATTCTGTAGGGTGCCTGTTCACTCTCATGATAGTTTCTTTTGCTGTGCAGAAGCTCTTTAGTTTACTTAGATCCCATTTGTCATTATCTTAATTCACTCAGCAATGTTTGGCAACTGAAAGTGTTCAACAAATGTCTGTTGAATGAGGAATTAGCCAACCTGATGGGTAGGTTTTGTGATTGTCTTTCATATCAATAAGGCACTAAGGCTTAGACAGACAAATTACCTTTCCAAAAAGGGGTAAAGTCAGGATTTCAACTGACACCTGTGCAATAGTAAAGCCTGTGCTATAGCTATTAAGCTATACTGCTGATGAATTCCACAAAATAAGTTGACAAGATGTGTTTTATTTGAACAGCTTGCAGCCTACAGGACTGATTGGTATAGTAATGTAGTCATCAGCATTATGAGATTTTTATTGAAAATCAACTGGATGATTTTAGAGAGTTAGGTAGGGTCCTACATATTGAAGGAAGTTATAGATACACAAACCTTAGGTCCTACTTTCCCAATCTTGAATTCTGAACAAAATCCTATTTTGTCATACTATTCTATCAATATTTCTAAACTAATGTTATTGTGCCAAATTTTGGCATCTCACATACAATCTAAAGAATGAACATTTTGAGCCACACCAACATAATTTAAATTTTGACAATGTTACCGTATCTTAAGTACAGTAATATTTGTAGCATTTTCCAAATAATGAATAATATCCAGCCTTTATTGTTTTATAAGACTGGATGGGGAAGATGATAATTAAGGATTAGTTCTGATGAAAAGAAATTTAAATCCTCCTAAGAGTATACTAGAGGCAAAAACAAATTTAATAAACAGCACACATACAAACGAAATAATGTGTATGAAATGTGTAAAATTTGTCCAAAAGGCAAAGTGTAATTTTTGATTTTTTGCTATGTTATTAATGCAAGCTTTCTTGGAATGGCACCCATGAGTGCAAGTTGTAAAACTTTCCCACGTCTAAAGTTTATGTGTATTTCAAGACTATATTACATGGCCGTATTATAGGACCATATTACATGGCTCAGGAAACAAGACACAAAAAAATATGTTAACAAATGTTAAATAAGCTATACATATTTATTACAGCTATAAGAATTCAAACGTGGGCAGGATCCCAGCAGTCAGGGAAATACTGAGAAGAGGCACAGAATCTAGGAAAGGCTTTTGGAGAAGTAATTAGGGCAGGGGGCTGAGCTAGGCAGCTTGGAGGGCATGGCTTTTTATTACAGTGTGGTAGAGAGAGCACACAGCATGTGGCTCAGCAGAAGAGTTTGACAGGAAATTCTTAAATATTAACTGGGAGATGAAGTCAGGGCATTGGTATCACTTGTTTAACAAGTTTGAAGATGATATCGGGAATGAGTTCCATTTTGGAGATATAATTATGTTCTGACAAAGTTTTGTTTGTTTTCAGATGTACATTCCTATGAAGCATGGGATGAGTGTACATCTTTCTGTATTGATGCATATGACAAATCTCTACTGCCAAACAGTGCTGAATTTACAGGAATGAGGCCTGCGTCTTCACACAGAGCTCCATACTTAGAACAAACCTGCACTTAGTTTAGAGTTCTGCTGTTGCCACCTGGGACTTCTTAGTAATTCTTTTAACAAAGGGATCTACACTTCATCTTTCACCCTAATTTATGTAGCTGATCCCGGTGTGATAAGAAAGTACAGGAAACTAACTTGACATTAGTAGGTCAGTATGTATATCATCAGGTGACCCACTGGATTCACATATTATTTTGAAAAAGAAATATTTAGAGTGAATCAATTTGATGTCCAAATAAAAAGAAAACTCTTTATGCAATTTTAATAGATAAAAATAAAAACAAAAGTAGCATTTTGTTTACTACTCACTGACAAGTTCCTCTATAACAGAAGATATCTGGATAAGGCAAGAAGAATCTTTCCTCATTCTAAATATTTAGAAACAGCTAAGCACAATTTTCCTAAACCTTTCAAGTTTTCTTTCCAGTGGAGCATTTTACCCTAAGTCTTTCAATTTTTTTTATCTTTTTTTTTTTTTTTTTTTAAGTAGAAAACTTCCACTTCCAGGAACAAAAGAATTCTAACTCTGTTCTTTCTCTCTTCCCACAGGATCTACTACTGTCTCTTAGGGAAAATAACCTTCCCTCCTAGCAGAGACATGAATGGGAGAGGAAATGTAATCCCTTAATTACTACAGATGTTACTTTATGGAATTTTAATTCCAGGAGAGCTACAGAATGCAAAGTTTCTGCCTCAGAACCCCCTCCCTGTTCAATCTCTCTCTGGGTAAAAGGCAGTTAAGAATCTAAGGCTTGCTTGCAAGAGTCCTACAAATCAAATCATTTCTCTTTGTCTTAAAATGACATGGAATTCTAAATGAAGACTAATACTAGGGGTGTGTGTGTGTGTGTGTGTGTGTGTGCGTGCGCGTGTTTATTCTACATAAAGCATTTTATGGAATAGAGAGGAAGCTAAAAAAGAAAATCAAGTGGCTAACCCACTCCACCCACTTAAAATATTTTTGTTCTTGTTTGAAAGCCTCAAGTCCTCCCTTCTGGATTCTAAGTATGATCATCTTTTCTTAACACTGTTTTACAGCCATATCAAGCTGGATGGGGGCTGTTTCTATGAACACAAAGACAGCAGTGTAGATTGTTCACTTTGGGTTCATTCAGATTTAACTAAGTGAATGTCTGCTGTGAGCCTTTAGAGACTCCAGTCTCTGAAAGAATAAATGCTATAAAAGCCTGTTTTCTGACGCTGCCGGCACTTAGTGTCAAACCGTGTTATGCTGTACCACCCAGCAGTGACAATTCCGTTTTAATACATGGGGCACATTTTAACAAGGCAAAGCAGTCCCAGCAAAGATGGCAATATAGGAGCCGCCAAGGGGAAAAGGCTCAGTGTTCCTCATGCATTTTATGTGAAAGCAGAACAAAACTGAGATCCAGAAAGCTCTGGGGGGAAAGAGACTACATTTGAATTGCCATCTTAGGAAGAATGTGCCCATTTTCTTCTCAAGTTACACAATTAACCCCTCTGAAATGCTAGTTCAAGCTATCTGGAATCTGGCACACGCTTCAGTTAAAACTGACACTAGCATTATCAAGTGAGTCTGAAAAGACAGCACGCCAGACACAGCTGCCTTTATATGTCCTTTTCAGATGGGCCACTGAATCACTACAACTGCACCTATTCTTCCTAGGCGGTACCTGAAACCCCTTGCATCCTTCAGAACAGCTGAATGCTAGGCCAACCATTCACACGACAATACATTAATTAGGTTCTTACAAGGCTCCAATCACTGCATAAAGCTTCAGGGTTTTCTGTTAGGTCTGATGTTTAAATATAAATACACATTAAAGGTCCTGTTTGACATTCTTCTTGTCTCAGTACCTAGGAACCTGGCTTCAGTCATCTGAAACACACCACAGAATTGTGCTGTTTCTTCTTCCTTTTTTTTTAAACAGCTACTAAGAGGAGCCAGTTTAACAGCCAATACAATTCCTGCAGGCAAATTACATCAGATGAGAGGCTGATCCCGTATCAGTAGAATGCTCTGGGTCAGACTTAACACGCAGAGGTAGAAACATACTTTGCAGAACCATTTGCAGCCTACCTCTCTCACCTCCATAGAGAAGCACACAGTTTATGGTCTTAAAGCAATGAGCATTATTAATCATGTATTTAAAACAAATCCATCCTGTTATTTATTATGGTTAATTAGAAGTTTCCAGTATTGTAATATGTTTGTGGTTTTGCAATCACAGGCTCCGTAGAAA